AAAATTTATAATGTTTAAAATAATTTAAACTTAAATAATTTTTACAAATTTACTTTTATTATCTCTCTCCCTCCCTCCCTCCCTTCCCCCCCCTTTCTACACACACACACACACACACACACACACACACGTGTATATATATATATATATATATATATATATATATATATATATATATAATATAATATAATGTAACATGCATATGACATTATTAAATTTGTTATTATATAAGATAATATGTACTTTATATTTATCTTCTATTTTCTTATACATTTTGTAATATTTTATAATATTTTTGCAATTTAAAATTACAATTTATTTCTTTCTTAAACAAAGCATTTCAATTTTTCAATATACTTGCAAGTTATATATATGAGAAAGAAATAGAGAGAGAAGTTGTTGATATATATTTCTCGATTTGTTATAATATTATTCATGTTTTACATCTCGCTTTCTGGCGTCATTTTTACCTTCAAAATATATTTATTCTGCTCGATTTTACGAGAAGTATAAATATCAATGTCGTTAAATTCTAACTTTGAAATGTTTCTTTGAGTGAATTTTATTTTATATAAAAGGTAGAAATATATATAAAAATATTCTATTAACAAGATATCTCTGATTTTCATTACGTGCGTAATATATGAATACATATATGAAAAAAAATATATTTTATCTCAATTATATCTTTTTATGAATTTTGTTGTTCACTCTCTTTCATCAACAATTTAATTAATGCCCTTTATTGAAGTGTTTAACTTTATTAATCGAAGAGAATATTATCAAAACAAGATACACTCATTTTTAACAAAAGGCTAAATTAATAATATTCGAATACGCATATTTTTTCTAATAAATAATTCTATTTCAAAGTTTTAATTATAATTTAGTTAGTAATTAAATACTTATATATATATATATATATATATATATATATATATATAATATATTTATTATGTAATATGTAGATAAAATATAGTATAATATCATATTGTAATCCCTCCAATTTTTCCAGATATATAATAAATAAAAATACTCGGTTCTTTTTAGACATAGTATCAAAAATTTTTGTCCGGATTTTATTATTTCACATTTTTAATATTGAAAGTATGTTTTTATTTTTATCAATCAAGCTTGTATGTTCTTGTTTTCTATTAATCAGATCATCATATATGTATATTTCTTACGATCCAAATACTTTTAGTGTGATAAATACTATATTAAATAATGTATAACGCATCGATATGATGTATTAATATTATATAATCTTTTCGCTCAAAAAAAATGTAATAAAAGAATATATACGTATATATGAATGATGATTACATACATATGTATATGTATATACATATTCATATATTCATACATGCATATTTACTATTATTTTCATGAATAGATTTTTAGAAAATCCCGGATATTATATGCAATAATCTCTTCCAAGATCATACAAGAAGATTGACTAGTATATTAAGCATTATATCTGATGTACGATGTACATTATATATCATTTTTGAAAATTTATGAGGAAATCTATAGTATCATACATTAACCGAGCTACTTTACTGCGATAAAAAAGAAAAAAAAAGGAATCGCTTTACTTAAATATTTTCTTAGCATTATCGACCGTCTTCTATAAGTTGACTGTCATATTTGCAAGAAACTTGATTTTTCGTTGTCGATAATATAATAGTGTCCTCATTTATTCTTATCTTCCATAAAAATAAAAAATTTTATCAGTACTAATGATAGATGAGATTGCGCCGAAGGTAGTACTTTTCTTTGACGTAAATTTCACAAAATCTTTTCGGGCAACCAAGCGGGTTTCAGGTCACCGAATACGCCTTCATCTTGAGTGAAAAACGGGTCAAGAAGGACTAGCAGATCAAAGGACACGAGCACAAAGCTAATATCTCAAATGTATATCACGCGCGTTGCTCATGCCTCCGGCGAACAGTAACGTTTCTAGGAAATCGCGTACGGAAATTTCATCGTCACGAAATGCGAACAATATTCTCAGACATCCCCATGTAATCGGAACAAGGACCTTCAACCATGCTGAAATGTGCGCATCTAGTCTTACATTTATGTATAATTAATTATACATTTCATAAATTCATAATCACGCACCGTTGAGAAACGATCATAGTAAGTAACTATGTAAATTCTTGAACAATTAATCAATGGTAATTAGTGCTTGGTTGTATAGTTCCAAACTTTGACATCCGATATTTCGACTTGAAATTCATGGTAAATTAGTAGGATCTGAAAGGATTGTTGAAATTTAACTATAAGTTATTAATTATTAAGTTATAAATTATAAGTTATTAATTAATTATTACACAAAAAGATTTCGAAAACCGAATTTTCTATCCCAAAATTTATCCTCGTATTGATTTAAAGAAAAAAAAATAACAAGTTGAATTGCTACAATTTTCGATTTATTTCGCGCTCTTTCATCGATTTCTTTTTTATACTATTTTTATAGTTTATGTTGGAAGTTGGCACAATTCCAAACATCAGATTTCACATTTAAACTTTTTACATTTGGTGTTATCCTCTTTACAATTTCATAGCGTTTTAGCTTTTTGACGTTATATTTTATTTACTTTTATTCGGGTGAAATAATGGCCAGACCATCAAGGCGCATGTGATCGTTAACGGCGCAGCTTGTCAACAAAGGTCGCCGACCGGACGACTTCCTCGTGAGCATCTTCTAACGAATTCACCCCGCCGGTCATACTATATCGCCGAAGCCAGCGGTAAACGTGGAGTCTGAAAAATAGGCGTTAAATCAAAGCAGTCGTTACGAGGTCGAACGAGGTTTAACGGTTGCCCGCTCAAAGCCTCGGCGCCGCGCCGGAGGGATTCTCGTTAAGAGGCTTTCTGCTGGACTTTAACCACCCTCGTGCCGCGATCGTCCCTACACAAACATTTGTACGCGTGGGATATAGATTTTTTACTTGGTATCTTCTTTGCGGAAGCAAAATAAATGACTTTGCGGAAATCCGCGTGGTATGGACAGATAACTACCTTTCTGCATCCAATTTTCCTTTAACCATCGGGAAAAATAAAATTATTTCGATAAGACATAACGCGTCCAATGTAACGTAGCCACAAGAGCCATCACGCATGACCGGCAATATTCCGTAAATTTTCATGGATGAAAAGTGATGCATATAGTGGAAGGTACTTTTTAGCCACGTCACCAGTTTGCAAGCATCTTCAACATATTGAAACGCTTGCACGTCAGAATCGATAGACATGGGTATGAAATATGATGTAAAAAAAATTTTTTTGCATCTGCATTACTTATTTCCAGTTCAAATGGTAAAAATGCAGGAAAACAGTATATATCGGTTCTTCTTGTTGTGTGTGTATAATTAATACGCACGCTATAGATATCGCATATGTATATTTTATGAATTTCAAATATTATATCACAAACAGTATTGAAATTCATAAAATATGTTAATGAAGTGCGCATTATATTTTATATCATAATATTTTCTCTTAAATGACATGAAAATAAATTTGTTGCATACAAAAACTTTCAAAATGACGTTTTAATATGAATACAGATATACAACATTTACAATATAATATGCATTGCACAAGAATATTTTATTTCTTTTTCGATATTTTATACTATAGCTAGAAATAAAAATTTTTAACCATTAAACATGTTACAGAAACGTAAGAGAAATATAACATAGCTACATTTTTTGTTAAATATAAATGTTCAAGTAAATATAATTATAATAATAATTATGTAACTAGACATTTGAAGAAAAGAAAATTCAATATCTTCATTTATTTATAGAATTATAAATATATAATAATTATTTCTCAAAAATATATTAATAAGATCTTTTTTGTTGATTGTACAATTCAATTAAAACTTGTGATATTATAATATTATGTTGAAACAATTGATATTTTTTTTCGACCAAGGAAATTATTATTGTTCTTCTTGCAATATTTTCTTACATGTATGTTTGTATAAAATATAATTCTATATATTTACAATTACATTGCTTTAAAATGGACATTATAAACATTTCTATTACATTATTTAGATGCTACTGATATATGTGAAAATTATTATCATTTAATTTATGTGCTACTGATATATATGTGAGAATTATTATCATTTAATGAAATTTTATGATTAGATGCTGCATTAAAGCTGAAAAATCAGAAAGATATAAAACTAAGAGTTTGACTCATATTTATGCACAGACGAGCTCATATTATAACGAAGTTCGACCTCGTAAAAGCCAACGTGATTTAATGCCAATTTCTCGGCGCATCTAATGGCGGTTACCATCGGATAGCCGATGACCTCCGGCACCGAAAACTCGGCCGGCTTTAGCATCCGTACGATAAGAGACTAGGCTCGTTACATTTCACGCAAAATTGCGTGTATATGATAGCTATGTTGTTACTGTCGTCCATCACTTAACGGAAATAATATTCGTAAAATACATATTTCGGTATAATGCTAATGTCATTAATTAGTCTGTGACCTGTATGAGAGAAAGACTATAATTATACTAATTTGAAATTTAACAGGAGAACTAAAATAACAGTAACAGTCACACAGGAGAAATTACGTCATTGTTACATCAACGAAAATTGCTCAAATGAACATTGGATATCGTCTCCGTTCAGGCAAATATCAAGTTGATTATATAAATCATGTTAATGTAACCGGAAATTTTATCAATATATAATAGTTATAATTGTTGAATTAATTATTTCTCAAATTAATTATATAATTTATTCAAATACACCAATAGTACTTGTTTAAATCAAGTTAATTTTTTCTTTGATGTGAATAGAGTTTCTCTCCTATATTTTGACATTTATTTATATCATTATTGTAATATTATAGCTTTTTATTATTTTTTTATTCATAAGTTATATGTTCGTAAATTTGCATAAGTACAAAAATTATCGAAAGTTTGGCTATAATATAATTAATAATTAATTTGTTTCAGAATATCCAGTGGCGGTTACGGCGGAAATAGTCGATGTTAATATAAATGTTAACATAAACTCGGTGGACGGCACAACAGGGAGACCGTTAGACGTCGACCTACCACCAACTTTGCCAATGACTTTCGGCACAGAAAACTCAACATCAGTTTCGGCGCAATCAGGATCCACAGCCTTGATGCCCTGCGTTGTCCACAATTTAGGAGAGGGCACGGTGAGACTTAATTATCAGAACACATTTAACCCATTGATTATCGTGTGATGTACAATAAGTAGTTACATTCCATTATTGATTATTTTACAAATGCCAATCAAAATTGTCACTTTTTCAAAAGTAATATAAATAAGCAAAGAAATTTCTATGTTTTCCATAATAAATACATAAATTGTATGTATATCTAATCTGAAAATTTAGTTGAAATTTTATATGGATTTATTATTACGGCTTAAATTTTTTCATTGCAATAAGAAAAAAGAGAATTTACATTTAAAACAGTATTAATCATCATAAGCTTTAATCGATGGATTAATAGTCTTCAAATAGAGTACAACCATATGGTTACCAATATTCTATAATAAGCACAACGAGGTTTCTCTACAACTAGCATTATCACTGCGAAATTCAGATTATACCTATTAGTTAAATTCGATTTTATTTGTATCAGTATTATCATATATGATAAGGGAAATTGAGTTTTCTTTTAAAGTATAATGAATAATGCGAACATATAACACTAATCAACGAAAGTTTTCATTGAAAATATTATTTACAAATAATATGTAATTTAATATATATCATAAAACTGTATATGATAATAAATAGTACGGCAATAGAAAGTGGCGCAGGTTAAATTTAATATTAAATACAATCTAAGAATTCTTTGCTTTCTGCGCGAATTATTGATATGATTTACTTAAAACTTAAAATATTAAATGAGCGTAATTTTTTTCTTCTCTCTTATTTTTCTCTCATCAAAACATCAGTAAAGTGCTCAGTAAGTGCTTGTGATAATCGATCGATGCTTTTTCGTGAATAAATATTATTCTCAATGTTCGACGTGATGTTAGATTGACATTGTCGTGTAGCACTTTTATCATTTAAGATTTTTTTCTTGAAAATGGCTGATATTGCACATAATTAACGAAAGAATATAAATATACTATCAATAATACATGTATCAAAATTATTGTAGTAAATTCGTTAAATAAGGAAAATCAATCGATAGATTACTTCAATGCGCACCATTACTTGTTTCTTTTTTTAGTTGACCCCGAGAGACAAAACAGCGTTACGCTTATTTGCACCTTAATTACGTATGCAGGACGAACCGGAGCAACGTTCTTGCAATTGTACAAAGTAAAAGCATTAGTGTCATCTAATTTCGACGCGGCAAAATAAAAGCGAGGGTAAACAAGATTTTGTCGGTCTAAAGAATTTTCAACTTCAACGCTCTTTTCACAAATCTTGATAATACGATAATAATTTTTCTTTCTCGATGATACTGACAAACAAGATTTACAGTATGCAATAGATAATAGCTCCGTAGAGAGAGTTTATGAAAAATTAAACAACTCCGCCAATATGAGATGTGCATAAGTTATGAGATTTGTCGATTTTTGCCAATGCCAGGGGAAATGATATACATTATTTATTCTTTTATTTCTCCACATTCTTCTTTTTTACACTCATTATTCTTATCACACTTCTTTTTCTCGGTCTACTTAATTATTTATCTACATACATATTGCTATTTCTCACAATCATCCTTCCATTAGATGCAATATTCTTGCAAATTATAAAAATATATAAAAGTATTATGGTTATCTTATAAAACAACATAAAATAAAAATATGAAAAATAACGTTAAAATATAAAATTACATTAATAATATAATAATATAAAAGTGATATCAATAATAATAAATAATAATTAATGTATCATAAAGATTACACATTATGATTTCATTTATGTGCATGTGCAAAATATTTTAATACATAATATATTCACTTTCTCCCTCTATTTTAAATTAAATAAAGTGATTTTAAATATAATAATTCAATATTTTGTAATATGATACACAATGTGTGTAAAATTGAAAGGTACAATTTAATCATACTTAAATAAGTCATATTTAAAATATTTTATATGCAATCTTACATTTTATATATCATACATGCATTAAATTAGAAACACGTGTAACTTCGTAAATTTAAATTGAATCACTTATTTGGAAAGTCATGTAAGTCTAGTTTTAAAACATTATAAATTTCAATAATATGTAAATATAAATCGATGCAGTGTGTAGATCATAACTGGATTCTCGATGCTAAAGTTATTTGAATGTAGGTGATTCGATAGCTTTCCGGATATCGATAAGCTATTAAGCAATACAAATATCTCTCTAATGAGATTATGATGTAGAAAATGATAAAGAATTCAACATGCAAACATATACACATAAACATATTAATTCACAATCAGACCAACTTAGAGAAACAGATAAAACATTCTTCTCGTCACATAAAATTCCGCGGTATAATTTCATTTTGGAAGAATGGAATTCGTGGCAAAAGAATTAATGCCGATTACAAGTTTAAAGCGCCATTTAATTAATTCGATGTTTTCAACTGCATTCGCGGCTTCTTACGCAGCGCGGCAACTTTACAATATAGCAGACGCGCGAAACTCTTCTGGCGGTTCGCAGTTAACATTGTTATAAAGTTTGTTTTCTTTGTTTGCACAATAACTTTTCCACGCATATCAGCACGAAGTTTTTTCCTACGAAGGATAGCAACACTACAGATTTACATGTCGCAGTCGACAATGGTATCCGGAATAGAAAAATCCTCGTGAGTTAAAAATATATACGAATAATAGGAGAAGATCTGTGAAAATATCAAAGATATCGTTGTCATTTCAATAGACGAATGTCGGCGTAGCCTGTCATAACTTAAATGCAACTTGTACTGGTTTGCTCGCAATAACGTTACGCTGATTTAACATGCGACGCAAACATGGAGCAATACAATCAAATAGAGTTTAATGAACCGTTTAATGAACCTATTGCTTGTTCAACTTCATTCGCCATTGCATATACATATATCAAAGTTGGATAACGTGACGAGAGTATTAATTATTGACTACGTTTGAAATAGGTTTAATAATCGGGCAATTCATTGATTCGCGAAAAGTAAAGATAATATAAAAGTTTATAATAAATTATATAAAACTTATTACTTAAAAAACGTCAGTCTATAAAATTTTATTGTTTACAATTTTTTTTCTTGCTTGTGATTTCGCATTAAGAGCTATATATATCTCCAATTCAAGATTGTATAATTTAAATATAATGAATTTTCAATATTTATATAAATAATATTATCATACGCTTATTAAAAAAAATTTTAGAAATAAAATTTTTCTTTTATAATAGCAAATAACCTTTTTATAATATTATAGACTTAATAAGATTCTTGATTTTTTTCTGGAAGGAAATTTTAAAAAAAGCATCGCACGGAAGAATGTAATCCACTCTCGCGTACGACGTTTGACCATTTCTAGAATTTCAAGAATTTAATTAATTAATTTACAGTACCGTGTCGCGCGCGGTCGGATCTTATTAGAAATAGTTCCTTTTGCATCTTAGAAGATGTAGTTACGGCTAGGCGTAAATTGCCGCGCGACCGAAATTCCAAACTGCAATATTGCATTAATGCTACGATAAATTTGAAGCGCTATTTTAATTAATTTAATATTTGCGGCGCATTGGTCATCCCGTTATTTATACGCGCCAAACATAAGTGATGATATGCGATGCTGTCACGAGTAACATGAAAAATTACACGTAGAGCATTTTTCTTCTTTATCTTTGCTGTTTTAATTTGAGAAAATGTCGGAGCGAAGTTCTCTGATGTTCATACGCGTCCGAAGAAGTTATCAAAGAAAATTACATTGGAATGTGTCATAAGTAAAGAACAAATAATATCAGAGTTGCAAAGAGAATTTTCGAGATGAAGAAGGCAAATCTGTTTTGAAGTACGTTGATTACAGAAATTAAATTTTTTCTATTTATTAATATTTCCTATTTATTAATTATTGGGAATATATTAATTAATCTAAATAAACTAAATGTTATCTTTTGGTATTTTTTTTTGTTACAATCTCAGTAATAGACACTATCCTTTTATTCGATATGACTTACTTTCAAAAAGATAGAATGCTGTTTATCCACACACATTTACACAAATTCGCATTTCTTTATATCACATACATACGTTTACACAAATTCACACTTTTCCATTCACATACACATACACATATCGTCGGATAAATATATTGTACAACGTAATTATAAAGTCTCTTGAGATAAAAGAAAATTGAATGGATACGCAACATGTGTGATTTAAATTATATTCGGCGGGATTTCAACGAAGTATTTTATTGATATGAGCACGATATATTGGCACGGAAATTGCGCGACGAAAGATTAAAATTAGATAAAAATTGTTGGACATATTGTTCTCCAAAAAGTAATTGGAGTCATTCGTGGCATCTCGTTTGTCAGTTTTGCAGTCGTTTACTATCGCGCACGTTGTTCCTCGGGCGATGTTCCGGAAGTTATTACGGAATTATTACGCCCTTCCCACGAGCGCTCGAGAATAATTGGCGCGTTATAGGACAGAGGAGAGCAGGCGGCGCGCGTGAGTCAAACGGACACAGGTAGAAATCGATAGGGACAGCCTCGTCGAACGACTCGCCCGGTCGTCGTTATATATCCACCGTCATTGTCAGATACTACACGCGCGTCGTTTTGCGAGCATATAAGATTTCATTGCTGCAAACTGGAGCGAACGCTGGCTATAGCGAAAACGAACACCGGAGCACCACAAAGGGAGTCAAGAGATGGACTATAATAATAAGAATCAGCGTGCGCGCTTTTCCATTTCATCGAATTGGTATTTCAGAGAAAATTAGATTCGCCTGATAAACTCACGATGTGTGATCACGGGCAAGCTTTCGCTTATACGGCAATGTGAGAACCTCGTGCATACGTTGAGAGCGACGTGAATTATGATGCTGCATACGGATAACAATGAAGATAATAAATGATCTTTCGCACACATGCAAGAAAGAATATATTCCTGCAACTAAAATTTGTTAGTTCACCAGGATATATGACTAAAAAAATCTTTTTGTTTAATAAATAAAATTAT